GAACTCCTGACCTCAAGTTATCCACCCTCCTCAGCCTTCCAAAGTGCTGAGATTACAGGTGTGAGCCACCATACCCGGCCAGCAATTTTTAGACATTGAAAACAACCATAACACATGGAGGGTGGTGTGGATAGGTGACTCTCTACACTTGGTGTTCCTGTATGCTGCAGCCATCCCTTCCTGCACAGGGAATTTTCCATGGGACAGAGCTGCGGAAATTCTCTATTGACACACACTCATAATTCATTTAACAGATGGTCAAGAAGCATATCATATGTTTAGACACTGTTCTAGAAACCAAGGGTAAATCATTAAACAAATTACATCAAGAACTTTTCCCTCAAAAAGTGATTAAATAATTAGTTGACCATATATTCTATCAGATGGTGATGAACTTCTATAGGAAACATTAAGCAAGGAAGGAATAAAGAGGCAGTGTGAGACATTGCAATTCTTAACAGAATGGTCAGGGAAGACTTCACTGTAGAGATGGGAATTGAGCCATCCCGTCTGATGGTAAGGAATCATCAGATGCTTAAGGACTGAGCAACCAGCTACAGGAAAAGCTAATGCAGACGACCTGGGAAAGGAACATCTCTGGCAGTTTCCAGGACCCCCAGAAGGCGATGCTGGTGTGGCTGAAATGGAGTGAGTGCAGGAAGTGAGAGGAGATGAATTCACAGAGACAATGAAAACACATTATACATGGCATTGTAAGCCACAAACAGTCTTTGGTTTTTAGGACGAGTGACGTGGAAAGCATTGGAATGTTTTGCGCTAAGAATTAACATGATCACACTTGGGCTGGCCTGTTGAGAGTAGACTACAGAAGGTGAGGACAGAATAAGAAGGAGGGCACTGCAGTGTTCCAGGCGTGAGGGATGGTAGCTTGAGGCAGGATGGTGGCTGTGCTGACTTAGCATGATGGGTTAACTTTATTCACCCTGGTCCTTCCCATGGTGACTGGTTTGCTACCTCTGGGCCTTGGCCCTGGAAGCCACTGAGGTGTCAGCCAGGTCTGAGTCAGCATCACTTTCTCCATCTGAGTTTTCTGAGGGAGAAAGCAACAGAGCTGGCTGAGGAGCCCTTCAGCTGTGCTCCTAAGGGCACTCTTACCCCAGATGTTCTGTTTCAAACTAAGTGGACATTTCTGGCTGCCTTTTCAGAATCCTTTATGCCCAGCGTGTCTCCCTGTGTGGTGGCCCTGCCTATCATTGTGGTCTTTCTGATGATAATCATTGCCGTATGCATCTACTGGATCAACAGACTCCAAAAGGAAAAAAAGATTCTGTCAGGGGAAAAAGAGTTTGAACTGGAAACAAGAGAAATTGCTGTAAAGGAACTGGAGAAGGAACGTGTGCAAAGAGAGAAAGAACTTCAAGTACAAGGTAAAAGAGGCTGAGTATGGTGGCTCATGGCTTGAATCCCAGCACTGTAAGAGGCTGAGGCAGGCAGATCACCTGAACCCTGGATTTCGAGACCAGCCTGGGCAATAAAGTGAGACCCCATTTAATTCAAAAAAAAAAATGTAGAAGAGTAAGAGGACAGATCAGCACCATAGAAAAGACACAACTCTCCCAGGTACCAGCATATGGAAGAGAGAGGAAATGCACAGCAGCAGCAAGGACTTGGAACTCTGATGTCCTTGGAATGAATCTCTCAGAGCTTTTGTTCTTTCACTCTGCCCACCTTGCATCCATTCATCTGGCTACATGAAGTACTACATGGTTGAGCAAAAGCAAGTATAACAATGTACCAGCACTACCCAGCCACCTGATCACATATCATTTCTGGTTTCTGACAGTGCCCTAGGCATGAGGCAAGGGAGATGTTGCTGTTCATAGAAAGGACGGTTCCTGCATTGTTTACTATCAACCCAACTTCTTTTAGTTCTTCTGTGGAAGACATGATTTTCTTTCTGTTTGTTTTTCAGAGCAACTTCAAGAAGAATTGCGTAAGTCTAGCCTTTCCTGAACTACTCCATATACAATTTGAGTTCTGCTCAGTTAGCAACATCTCATGACATTCACCTCTGTCTGTCCCTTGCAGGAGGGAGAAAAACAGTCTTACATGCCGGTGAGTGTCTCTGATGTTCCCTTAGATCTCAGCTTTCTCCTGCTAGCCAGCTAACAGGACTCCTTAGAGGAGATGAGCAAGGGGCCCAGGGCTAGGCAGGGACAGCAGGGAGCTGGGGTCAGTTCATCAACAGTGTCCCAGCAATGATGCATCATGGCTCTTCTGTCAGGGAATCCCGGCAGCTCTCAATCCACCCTATGGTTTACATCCCAGGATCCTTTCTCTTTTGGAATAATTTAATGCGTGATTACCAGAGGTGTCCGATATATAGTAGCCTTCCTAAGAGTTACGTTTCAGTAGTTGTTGCTCTTTGATCCTGGATAAATTTGAAAATAGACAGTGCTGTCTTAGCAGCTTACATCCTGGGGATAGTATAGACTGTGCCAAGTTGAAGACCCATGTGGGGAAGAGGCCAGGAGGGTTCTTAGTAAGCCTGACCTAAGGGTGTACCAATACGTGGCCAGAAATGCCTTTCTGCTCCTAGGAGAACACTGATACTTTGTGTACAGACTGCCGGGGGAGGGGTTTCGGGTGAGTGGGAGAGCACAGAACCCAATTACCCACTCCCAGTGAGCACTTTTCATCTTGTGATTCATCCCCTCTGCTCGTAAGCACTACAGAATCCAAACTTTACCAGATACTATGGCACACGGACCTTTCCTCTTTAGGTGAATTTCAGAATTGCCACTGTCAATGTGGAACAAAATAGCAAATTGTCACAGCCAGACCTATTAACTTGGGGAATGGAGGAAATCATTTTAACACAATAGAAAGGTAGACTGAATAAGTAAGATTAAATACAGATGGGAGAGGCCTGCAGCATGCCCAGTGTCCGGAGCACTTCTTGTAACTACAGAAGTGATACCTGAAGACATCAGACCCACACTGTTGAAGCAAAACTGGATGGGAATAGTTCCTCCCCACATTTGCCTACAGATCTCTCAGGAAGCAGTTTTTCTTTTGGGGACATTTATTCTCCTTTATTTTTTGAAAGGTGCCCTTGTCAGTCATTTAAGTCAGTTGTGATCTGGTAAAAGGAACACACAGGACCAATGAAGAGACCCTTTACCCTCCGGGATAGTGTGAAGGGAAACACTCACCTTATCTGATCCACTGGGGAGAGGAGGAGCAGGACATAAAGGCTCTGTGCTGGTTTGAGCCAAGTTGGAAAGTTTCTAACTAAAGAAAATCCAGAGATCATAGGTCTTTGTTTTGGTTTCTTTTTTTTTTTTTTCTTTCAAGATGATATCTCGCTCTGTCACCCAGGCTGGAGTGCCGAGGCACAATCTGGACTCACTGCAACCTCTGCCTCCCGGGTTCAAGCAATTCTCGTGCCTCAGCCTCCTGAGTAGCTGGGATTACAGGCGTGCACCACCATGCCTGGCTAATTTTTGTATTTTTAGTAGAGATGGGGTTTCACCATGTTGTCCACGCTGGTCCCAAACTCCTGACCTCAGGTGATCCACCCGCCTCGGCCTCCCAAAGTTCTGGGATTACAGGCGTGAGTCACCGTGCCCAGCCAGAGATCCTATGTCTCGAATAGAAAAGGGAACACATCTTAGAATTCTGAGAGAAAGTAAGAATGATTAATTTTGCCTCATTTGCCAAACTGTCTGGATTTCTTAGAGCTCCAATTCTTCTCAAACTGAGGGAACTGCTGGAGAGATAGAAGGGAATCCTGGGGTTGGATTTTCAGTAATTCTCAGTGTGTGAGCTGCCTAGGATCAGAGAGCCTTCATGGAAGTGGCCACTAGATGGGGATCCCCCACAGACATCTGAGACCTCTCTGGGAATCAGGAACCACACAATCCCCAGGGTTTCTGAGACCCCAGGCCTAAACCTGAGACTTCCTCTGCAGTCGATGTGGTCCTGGATCCAGACACCGCTCATCCTGATCTCTTGCTGTCAGAGGACCGGAGAAGTGTGCGAAGGTGCCCCCTCAGGCACCTAGGGGAGAGCGTGCCTGACAACCCAGAGAGATTCGACAGTGAGCCTTGTGTCCTGGGCCGGGAGAGCTTTGCTTCAGGAAAACATTACTGGGAGGTGGAGGTGGAAAACGTGATGGAGTGGACTGTGGGGGTCTGCAGAGACAGTGTTGAGAGGAAAGGGGAGGTCCTGCTGCTTCCTCAGAATGGCTTCTGGACCTTGGACATGCATAAACGGCAATACCGGGCCCTGTCCTCACCTAAGAGGATTCTCCCTTTGAAGGAGTCCCTTTGCCGGGTGGGCGTCTTCCTGGACTATGAAGCAGGAGATGTCTCCTTCTACAACATGAGGGACAGATCGCACATCTACACATGTCCCCGTTCAGCCTTTTCCGTGCCTGTGAGGCCCTTCTTCAGGATAGGGTCTGATGACAGCCCCATCTTCATCTGTCCGGCACTCATAGGAGCCAGTGGGGTCACAGTGCCTGAAGAGGGCCTGATACTTCACAGAGTGGGGACCAATCAGAGCCTGTAGAATCAATTCCCTGGTCTCACAGCCATGCAGATAAGCCCTGGTCATCTCAGCAGCCACTGCACAATGTTGTTGGTGGAAGACACGCCCTCCTCCCCTCTGGTCACGTCCCCAGTGGAAGACACGCCCTCCTCCCCTCTGGTCACATAAGAGAACAGCTTCCAGCTGCCCCTTTCACACCCACTCCAGCCCTCAGCCCCAGTTTTCTCCTCCTCACTAGGCTGTGGCTTTAGTAGTTCCTTTGCTTGTAACTATGGGACGGGATCCAGGCATAGGGAACTAGTTGTTTCATAGCTCCCAGCCAAGAAAAAAGTGTGAGAAGTTGATGGGCAGCAAACCTGCTGTTTAACATCAGGGTGACCACACTGAGTCCAGTATGCCAGTTGGCACCAGATGATATGGACTTGGAATGAGGCCAACAGGGTTCATCAGGATGTGAGAGGAGAGAGGAATCCACAGGACCACCAGAGAGGAGAGGGAACCAGATCTGCAGGTCAGAGATAGAGGAAGTGGAACCAGAGAGCTGGGAGGGACCAAGCTTGTAAGGGTGGCTAAGTCCCACCATAACATCCAAGGGAACCTGGGAAATGATGGCTCATTTCCACCCAACCCCAGGATTTCCAGAGCACACAGCCACAGGCCTGGACCTGGGACGAAGATGAATGAAGAACATGGACTCATGTGGATGTGGTTTGGCTCAGGTGTCTCTGCAGTTGGCAAGGAGTCAGTACTCAGTCCCCGAGTGTGGTTTAAGTTTGAGGTCCTGGCTGAGCCGAGGAGTAATGGACCAGGTCTACCTCAGCATTCAGGTTCAATGGGGACACCAGTGGCTTCAAACTTCCTGGTCTCATGATGTCTTTAGACACCTTACAAATGATGGAGGATTCCAAAGAGTTTTTGTTTATTTGAGTTAATATTTGTTGGCATTTAAGGCATTGGAGAATGAAACTAAGAAATGTTGTAATTTATTACCTTTACAACAGTTATTTATATTACATACATTTACAACATTTATTAATTTATATTAAAGTAGCATGAATAAGCCAACTCTAGGTTAATATAAGTAGAATGTTTGTGAAAAAATAAGTATGGTATCCAAAGCAAAATAAATTTTATTTAGAAGTGTGGCACTGATTAACTTTTTCCAAATCTAATGTGTGGCTTAAAAGAATATGACTGGATTCTCATATCTGCCTTTATACTCACTCTGTTGAGATATCATAGACTATATAGGCTCAAAAAAACTTTATCCTAGTGACAGAATGAGATTAAAAACCACAAACTGTGTTTTATTATTAATATGAAAATAAGATTATTAACCTTGCAGGCCCCTTAAAACAGTTTTAGCCAACTAAGTGAGACCTTGTCTCTACCAAAAACAAAAAAAAAATTAGGTGTGGTAGCGCACACCTGTAGTCCCTGCTTCAGGAGACTAAAATGGAGGATTGCTTGAGCCAAGAGTTGGAGTTTGCAGTGAGCTGTGAGCCTGCCATTGCACTCCAGCCTCAGCAACAGAGGGAGACTCTGTCTCAAAAAAAAAACAAAAAACACGTCAGGCACGGTGGCTCACGCCTGTAATCCCAGCACTTTGGGAAGCCGAGGCGGGTGGATCACCTGAGGTCAGGAGTTCAAGACCAGCCTGGTCAACATGGCAAAACCCCGTCTCACTAAAAATACAAAAATTAGCCAGGCATGGTGGTGGTCGCCTATAATCCCAGCTACTCGGGAGGCTGAGATGGAATCCTCGAACCCCAGTGGGGCGGAGGTTGCAGTGAGCCAAGATTGCACTACTTCACTCCAGCCTGGGCGAAAGAGTGAAACTCACGTCTCAAACAAAGGTCGGGGGACAAAAACATATGCCAAAGACCCCCCACCCCACCCCAGGAATCCTCAAACCATATTTGAGAGTTGGGATAGAGGATTTGGGAAATAAATCAATGTGATGGTTAATTTTAGGTGTCAACTTGACTGGGTTAAGGAATACCTAGACAACTGATGGAGCGTTATTTCTGGATGTATCTCTGAGGGCGTTTCCAGGGGAAACTGGTATGCGAGTCAGTGGACTGAGTGGAAAAGATCTGCCATCAATATCTTTGGGCACCTTCCAATCAGCTGTGGGCCCAACAGAGCAAAAGGCAGAGGAAAGGTGATCTCTCTCTCTCTCTCTCTCTCTGAACACTCTTCTCTTGCTCTTCAATATCACAACTCCAAAGTCTCCAGCCTCTGGTCTTTGAGACTTACACCAGTGGCCCTGAGGTGTCAGAATGAGAATCTGTCAAAAAAGAAAAGAGGGAAGGAAGGAAGGAAGGAGGGAGGGAGGGAGGAGGGAGGGAGGAAGGAAGAAAAAGTAACTGGAAAGATGGAGCTGTGAATTTCTGAGATAGGGAAATGGAGAGACAAGGAGCAAGATGGGGGTGGTGCAGAACCAAAGGTTCAGTTGTGGATACGTTAAGGTTGAGGAGCCTATTAGAGATGCACATGGAGATGCAGAGTAGTCCATTGAATAACCAAGAGTCCAGGTGAGACCTCAAGGCTGGAGATAGAAATTCCATACTCAACTTTCCTATATGTTTGAAGAGTTTCATGATAAACTGTAGTGGGTAGAGGGAAGAATTGCATTTTGTTATTAATAACAGAGTCCTGAATACCATTGGCTTTGACAAAACGAGGACTGCTTTTCATGTCAATAAATATGAATGGTGGCCATCAAGGGCTGATCTGAGAGCTTGAAATGTCATACATGCCCCAGTTTAGTTCTGTCTTTATTTTCTTCTGTCTTAGCTTGTGGCTTGCATCTTCAGTGTTGCCTCATGGTCACAAAGGGCTGCCCAGCTCCAAAGTCCATATTCTACATAAGAGGAAGTAGAACATAGGGGGAATGTAAGGGTCTACCAGCTGTTTTAGCCTCCCCTTAAATAATCTCTCTGATAAACAAAACTTCCACCCTCAAGCAATTGGCTCAAACCTAGTCCCTTGGCCTCCCCTGTCTACAAATGAGATGGATACCTTGCAATAAGAAAATGGGATTTTATTACTGAGAAAAGTGGATCTGGTATTGCGCAAGCAGCCAGCCAACTCTACCAAGAGCCTCAATTCAAACTGTTGTAGTATCATTTTCTATCACTCAAGGTTTCAGCTAAGTCCTAGGGGTTTTAATTACTTTAAGTGTCTGTTTTATGTCATAAACAAATGATAGGCCTTTATATTTTATTTGTGACCCAACTAAAGTTGCAAGTGCTAGTGATGTAGGATTTTTCTTCTTTATCACTTTGCAAGCAGGGGACCTCTGGCCAGCAACATCCCACCCAAGCCTTGCTTGGCTACACTGGCATGCCCCAGCTCACCTGAGTTATAGCGTGTACCCACATTCGGCAGTTCCTGAGCTCTTGTGCCATGCCCAAGAAGAATGAGGATACACTAGACATTGAAGGGTGAGGAGGGATGAGAAGAATTTTATCAAGCAACTGAACAGCACTCAGCAGAGAGGGGATGCTGGCACCCCTACCCGAAGGCGGGAAAGTTCCCCCTGTGTGGCTGGGTCCAGGCCTGTTTTATGGACTCATAATGGGAAGTGTATGCTGATTGGTTTGTGAGTATGCAAAAAAGATTAAAGTGAAGACACCACTCAAAGGTGGCCACAACACTGTAAAAAACCAATTAGGAAAGGGTGGGTATATGGAAAGTAGTTGAAGGGTGGGGACCAATAAGAGGAAAGTGCACCAAACATGAAGACAAGTTCTCAACAAGTTCTCAATCAGGGCTGAGGATTTACCTTGTAGTTTGACTTTCAGGCTTTAAACTGTCTTCAGCTTGGAGGTGGGGTTTCACCAGGGACCCATTGCTACCTGCCTTTGCATCTGACTGCCTCCTGTCTGCTATCACTAGGTCCCAAGGTTTGTAGCAAGGACCCCTTACAAAGACATCCCCCACAGTCTACCCAAAGGTTAACCTCAGAACATATTTCATTGTCAGAGTGAGAAACAAATACACGTGAAAATACAGTATGGCACAAAAAAGGAGCAAGAGGTGAAGAAAGGCTCAGTCACACCCAAAATAATTTTGTGAAAAATATAAAATATGCAGTTACTGACAGCACTAACTCTGGATACCAGAAAATTCTATAATTCAGTAATGGATCTGAGACCTGAATTTTGGAGGTACTAAAATAGATGCAGTAGATCTAGTTTTCATTCTGTTCATACTTTCATTTGGCTCTGTGGTAAAAGATGATAATGTTAAAAAAAAAAAGGATGATAATATCCTCTATGTAACAATTACATGCAAGGGGATGTCTGCAAACTGCCACAGTATCATTTTAATTAATACCTATCTTCTCTTCTTAAAATCATTTCATTTTTCCACTCAGTTCTCCTGATATTTCTGTTACGATATAAAAGACAGCTGAATGTGAAGAAACACTGATTTTACACATAACACACACATTAATGATTCAAATAGGTAAACACAGAGAGCTGCACACACTTTGAGAGGTAGGGCTGAAATTTTTCATCAATGTGTACAATTCAATATAGTTTCAGTTTTCATTCTAACCTTCCCCAGTGGCTTCTGCCCAGCAACTGATGAGAAATGGTAACTCTGAGCCAATCAAAACACAAATTCCTACAAAGAGGATTATCTTACTGTTTCTCAGATCGAGTGTACAGCACATGCTTTCTTTTCCTTTATTCTGGATCAGAGAATCTTAACTAAAGCAGAAATAACTGTGTTAAATTAAACTAAATTTGGTATGAGATATACCTACATTTAGCCTGAGGGATGGCTCCTTACTTGAGCCCTTAAATAATGAACTGCAACCTAACTTAGTATGTAAACTAACTGAAAGCTTAAGGCACAGGAGTATACTTTTGTAACAAATAGCTGAGTCTCAGCCAATCCCAGTAGCCGAACTTCAGTCGGCTCCAGTCAACCCTGCAGCCAGTGATCAGACTATGTTCAAATAAGGCCAACTCTGAGCTGTAACCATTTAAGCTGTTTCTGTATGTCGCTTCCCTCATGGAATGGAGCTTACTGAACCTCTCTGATGGCTTCCTGATCATTCTGATGGTTTGCAAATTGTTCTTTGTTCAAATTAAACTGCTAAATTTAATTTGTCTAAAGTTTTCATTAACAACAGAGAACTATTGATTACCTTTTTTCTTTGGGAAATGATTTTCAGATAGGAATATTCAGGAGTAAGTGGGGAAAATTGCTTAGAGCCAGGGCTACAAGGCCTGGAAGAAGAGGGACTGAAAAGCTGAGAGGGGAACTGGCACAGAGAAAGGGGTGGGGATGGAGAGGGTAGAATGCATAGGGTGAGGAACTGAAGAGGCTGAGATTTGGCTGAAGAGGGACAACCTGAATGGAGAAACCTTCCAACTGCATGTTCTTAGGAACTAATTATGATCAGAAAGGAGCAAAGACTCTTCTTTTTTTTTTGTCAGACAGCGTCTCACTGTTGCCCAGGCTGGAGTGCAGTGGCACAATCTCAGCTCACTTCAATGTCCGCCTCCCCAGCCAAGCAATTATCTTGTCTCAACCTCCGGAGTAGCTGGGATTACAGGCATACGCCACCACACCTGGCTAATTTGCTGTATTTTTAATAGAGACGGGGTTTCACCATGTTGGCCAGGCTGGTCCTGAACTCCTGACCTCAAGTGATCCGCCCACCTTGGCCTCCCAAAGTGCTGTGATTACAGGTATGAGCCACTGCCCCCAGCCAGGAGAGGAAAAGACTCCTAAAATATCTCCTGGTTATGTTTAGGAATGTATTCCAAAAGGTTCTAAAAAGAGATGTGCCTTAAAGATTCATATGTATATTGTAAATTTTCAACTCCATATTTTCTAGGTGCCCCCAACATCCCCCCAAGAGCCTGTCAATGCCCTGCCCAGGTAACCAAGTATATCAGTGCAACAGGGCCAGTTCCTGCCTTCTTTCCCTTGCCTGACTGTGACTTCCCATCTTTTGATCTTTCTTCCTCTAGTTCACTTCCTTTGTCACTATCTCTGCCACCCACACCCACTTGCCTTAATCACCTTAACAGCAAGTGCAGAATTACTATAAACAAAAGGAGTCTGTCTTTTTAGTGCATGGGTCCCCAAGTATGTATATATGAATATGCAGTGAACTC